TGTTGACAAAAATGGAAGATAACAAGTTAAAAATTACTTACCCAAGAGATTATGGTGAGGAAATGCTTCAAAAATCGCCTAAGAGCTTTGGAGAAGAAGAGGTTTATGAAATTTTATGAAAATCCCGTAAGTATTCTGTTTTGGTCTTTTAAAATGACGGGGCGAAATTGCCCTTCGCGTTCGCGACAGGCTCATCGTGTTGGCGATGAGTCAGGCCTGAAGACATTCGCGTTCGCGACATTGGGCTCGCTTTCGCGGAGAGGGAACCCCTCGAGCCCTCGCGTTCGCGTCCAAAGGATCGGGTTCGCATAGAACAAATGCCCCACCCCCACCCAGGCTCAATTAGCCTTCGCGTTCGCGTGGCCAGGACCGCGTTCGCGAAGGGATAACCCCACAACGCCTCGCGTTCGCGACCTGAGCTACGCGTTCGCGTAGAAGGAAATTCCTTCAGCATAATTTACACATCGCGTTCGCGAGGGCCATCCCGCGAACGCGAAGAAGAAAATATCAGTACACCAGAACAGCTGTTTTCTGCAACTTTTCTTAAGCCCAAAACTTTCCGTAACACATCCGAAACACACCCGAGCCCTCGGGGCTCCTTACCAAACATACGCACTAACTCAATAACATCATATGAACTTAACCGTGCGATTAAATCGCCAAAATAACACCTTTAACAACGAATTAAACCTCAAAATCAAGGAAATATTTCAAAACTTCTTAAACCTCAACTTTTGCAATTTAGGTCCGAATCACGTCAAATGACATCCGTTTTTCACCAAATTTCGCAGGAACGTCTTAAATCATATATAAGACCTGTACCCAGCGCCGGAACTAAAATACGGGCCCAATATCATCATGTTCTAATCAAATTTCATTTCAAATTCCTTTAAACAATTTCAAAAAATAATTTTCTTTAAAAATTCATTTCTCGGGCTTGGTACATCGGAATTCGATTCCGGGCATACGCCCAAGTCCCGTATTTTCCTACGGACCCTCCGAACCGTCAAATCACGGGTCCGGGTCCGTTTACCCAAAACGTTGACCGAAGTCAAATTAATTCATTTATTAGCCAAATTTTATCATTTTTCACCAATTTTCATATTTAAGCTTTGCGGTTACGCGCCCGGACCGCGCACGCAAATCGAGATGACTCTAAATGAGGTTTTCAAGGTCTCGAAAATAAAGAATTTAATTCAAAAACCAGTGATGACCTTTTGGGTCATCGCAGGTAGAGGGTATGATTGTCAGGATAAACTTGTATGAGAAGAGGATGCAGGTTTTATAATTTATGGGGCAGTAGATGCATTTGGTACAGAAGTAGCTTTACTTGACCTTCAAGCTTGACTTAATGCATTGTCATTTGAAAGCAGAATTTGACATGTGCAATGGCTATGCAAGTGCGTGCCTGAGGTTGCTGACTTAATAGAACAATAGAATTCATTTGCTTACCTGGTTTTCTAAAATACACTCAATCTTGAAATTATCTAATAAGGTGGTTTAATTCTTTTTGTTATCACTGCTTCGTGGATTCATACTTGGATGCTTAATTGACTTGAGCATATATTACTATGTTGTAATTTTACATCGATTTTTTACAATCTACTTAAATATCTTCACTCCACGGGATGCTTGGAGGACAACACTTCTTCTAAGAGTGGAGGAAACATTGAAGGCTAAAGAGTTCGAGGAAGATGATCTTACTTAATTTGTTCCCCTTTGACCTATTGCAAACTACTAGTACATCCTTTATGTGATTTTATTTGTACTGCTTTCAAATATGATACTTAGTTCTTTGTATTAACAAGATATCAAGTATTTGGTTTATTTTCCAATGTTGTTGAGTGTGTATGAAAGCATATAAATAATTATTACTATTCACGTAATTTAAATTTTCATTATATTTATTACATTTTCATATTAGCAAAGAAAAATGTGGTCATTAAAACTCTTTAATGATAGGTTTCTCAAATAGATAAATGACTATTAACGAAGAGAATTTTGGTTGTTAAAAGTACTTATACAATTAACGAAGGGAATATCGCGTTAAAAGCCCTTGGATTGACTTAATACAAAGACTTTCAACGATCGGATAACAAATTAGCGGGGGGAAAATCATGTCGCTAAAAAGCATATTTAACGACCGAAAATTATGTCGTCGCTAATGATCCTTTAACGATCGGATTATAAACCGGTCATCAACTTATAACGTCGGGACTTTTAACCGGTGACGACTGGATTTTTTTCGGTCGTTAATAACTTATAACGACCAGAATTGGACTTTTAACGACCAAATTTCCCCTTGCTAAAGCCCCATTTTCTTGTAGTGTTTGATTGAGGAATATCAATAAACTACAAGTACGACAAATGCAAAATACACTTCCAAAGCTAGTTTGCAATTTATGTTTCAGAATCTTCACAATGATGCTCAGGCAAACCCAAACCATAAATCACCAAAGCCATCAGAAGACAGGAAAGAAAGCAGCTAAACATGTGCATGCGTAGTAACTTAAAAAAATTAAAAAACGAACAAAGAGCGATACAGATTTAACAAAAGTAGATAAAACTTTGGAAAAATCTGAGAGAACAGCATGAAAATTGAGCAAAAATTGAAAGAAAAGCATACTTGGATAAGAATATGAAGAGATGAGAAGAAAGAGAATTGAGCGCCTTCTTTTGTGCGTTCAAGATGAAAAAGATAAACAGATGGTTCTAGAATTTCGTTTTTGATAGCATAGGACCATTGTTAAAAAAGCGGCAGTGCATCTACCAAGGTTGAAACCTAAGAGAAGAATTATGCTTCAAAATTTCTCATCGCAAGCGCAGAATGATGAATTCAACACCCACGACTGCAAATTTGGTTATAAATTATACCTTTATTTTTTCGTGGATAGTTTCCCTACCCTTAACAACAAAAACAACATACCCAGTATAATCCCACATAGTGGGGTTTGGGGAGGATTGTGTGTACGCAGACTTTACCTCTACCTTATGGAGATAGAGAGGCTATTTCCAATAAACCTCGGCTCAGGATTAGATTAGCCGGCCCTCGAGTTGTTTAAAAGCTTAAGCTGTTTAAAAGCTTAAGCGATAAAGGTAGCGACGTATGTATTTTGATCACCGCGCCTCTTGCTATGATGGTGCAGCTTAAGACAACAATGTAGAGTTTTTGCTATATTTATCTCAACAATTGATTGTCTAAGTATATCTGAAGAAGCCCTTTGATTTAATATTTCTGCGTTCTCATCATAAAAATACAAGGGAAAATGCATAAGTACTCCGCTGACCTATACCCGTATTCCCAACTATACACTTTTTCTTTGCGGGAATCCTATTACCCCCTAAACTTATTTTAAACGTAATTATTTGCACTCTTAACGCTGACAACCAAACTCTTGGCAAGTTGTGAGCTACACGCGTCCCCACATGTATTTTTACTACTTTTTTTACTCTTTCTTCTTTTTCTTATCTTTTTTTCTTATTTCTTATTATTCTCAATTTTTTTGGTTATTTTATTCTCTTTTATTTTTGTTTTGGTCACCGGCGGCATAAAATGGTGGTCGTCGGAATTTCACAAACATCATTTTTTCCGGCGAATTTTTTTTCCGGCGACAGATTTTTATTCCGATCTAAGTGTGTTTTGTTTTATATATATATAAATTTTTCTTGAAAGTATAATTTATGTGTGGGAGAAAGAGCAAAAGAAATAAAACTGAATATAAGCTGAGAAAACTTTTTCCAGTTAAAATTTCAATACATCATTTTTTTCCGGCGTGGGAAGGTTTTCCGATGATGAATTTTTTCCCCCAAATCTAAGTGTATTTTGCTTTGCTTATGAATAGATCTTTTTGAGAGTTTAATTTGAGTGTGAAAAGAAAAAATGGAAGAAAAACGGTTAGACAAAGTCGCCGGTGAATGAATATCCGCCGGAATTAGAGAAGAAACGAAAAAAAAAGTAAAAGAAAAAAGAAAAAGAAAAAGGAAAAGGAAAAGGAAAAGGAAAAAAAAGTAAGAAAAAATGGTAAAAAAGAATAAAAGTTAATCTGAAAATCGTTTTTTCTTGCTTTGAAATACACACACTGTGCCACGTCAGCATTAAGGGTGCAAATAATTTTAAAATAAGCTTGGGGTAACAGAATTCTCGCAAAAGAAAAGGTGTGTAGTTGGGATTCCGGGTATAGGTGAGGGAGGGTACTTATGCATTTTCCCAAAATACAACTATAAATTTATTGGTCGCGAATTTCTTGGAATCAAATTATTTATGAAGTAATACATTTGACCTTTACTCTAAATGTGTAGATTCCTTGATTTCTTTTTGCTAGTACTCTGTTGTAGTTCACCCTAAGTGAATTGAAGTAAATGCAAACATATTATTGTATAGTCTAAGGTAGGTAAGGAAGTATTCAGATTCTTCGGTATTGCCTAAATATAAATTCAAGAGTTCATTAGGCATTTCATTTGACGTCAACCTAACTGAACTATTGCTACAACAAAATGTTGGCAGCTCATATTCAAACCTTTTTGCTCCACAATATTACAGTTCGATACAATTTTTAAAATGGTTGCACCACTTGGTAGTTCTCTAATGTTTCAGTTCCAACCTACTCCCTTTGTTTCATATTAGATGGGTAGTTTAACTCGACACGGAGTTTAAGAAAAAAGAAGAAGACTTTTGGAACTTGTGATTTTAAAAGCTTAAGGGGTAAAAGGTTTGTGGGGCCATGCCATTTGTGTGGCTATAAAAGGTTCTCATTAAGGATAAATGGGTAAAATGAAGAGTTTAAAGTTGAATTATTTCTAAATTTAGAAATGTGTCATTTATTTTGGAACAGACTAAAAAGGAAAGTACATCATCTAATATGAAACGGAAGAAGTATTATTTTTTATCTATAACATGTGTATATTAGTTGCAACAATATATCCCATCAGTGTTGATAAGAGAGTAGCAGTAAATGGTGATATAAGAGTAAACGGCGTTATAAGATTAAACGGAGACAAACCTTTATTTATGACAGTAGATGTATTTGCATGATGCTGTTCACAGGGTACACCAGAGGTCGAAGCTAACATACAAACAATTCTAATTAATATATTAAAAATGAGTACAGTCAAACTGAAACAACATATTTCCACTCACTTACCATGTTCGGAAACGGAGAAGTGGTCAGTAATATTTTTTCCTTTGTTACAATCAGCTACTGCCTCCGTAACCGAAGATACACCGGCTAATATGCGAACCCAGATATGTTTAGCAAGAGCAAATTGTATTTAGGTACAGTCACGAAGAAGAAAACATATATACATGCATATATTGGTGTCTACAAGCAGTGTGTGTAAATGTGCCTTTTTCTGGAATAAATCGTTTTTGGTTTCTAACCTGTCCCATTAGCACATGGTGGGTCAGCCATCGTCAGAGTTTTTTGTGTAGGTAACTCAAACCCAGCAGTTTGTTTGGTATATTCAAGCAGCGCGTTTTGACCCTTATTTAATTCAAGCTTTTTTAATCATCGTTGTGGTAAAAGCAAATCTCTTTTATCAATTGATAACTGCCTGTACAGATCACGTCTCCTACAGTTAATTTTAGAGACTGTTTCTGCTGAGTACTGTTGCTTTCTTTTCTGCGGACAGCAAGGTGACGGTAAATGCTTTTTATCGATCGACATCTGCAATTCGAGCAATTTATATTAGTTAAACATCAAATCTGCACTAACAACTTGTACATATAAAATGTTATACAAACAACAGAGAAATTTACAGTTCAAAGTATGTATTTGTTATTTTAGGTAAACAAGATGATGACCAAAACAAAGAATTCAGTAGTGATAACACCTGAAACTAAAAAAGACACCAATGAGATCCAACCAAAAAAATTGAATAGACAACCAAGAAATGAGGAAATCTGAGCGTTTAAACATAAAAACAAATATGACGTTAGGAATTCTGTATTTAAGAGCGATACTACATAGACTAGAGCGGAAAAATAAGGTAGTCATCAACACTCTAGAATCTGGGACAGCTGATACTTGAGAAGCCACGATATTTTAGTACACTATTTCATACGTCATTGATATACAAACATTATCACTGACGCAAGATCCTTTTCTGTAGAATACACATCTTTCAAAGAGAAGTCACGAACTATGTTGTTTCTACTAGTAAAATCAAAACAACTCCGTTCAAAAAAAAGGAAGAGGTGCCGGAAATAGATTGACAGCCACCTTAACCTTACAATGACAACCATAATTCAATATCCAAGATAATTTTTTTTAAATTTTCAAGATAACAACATAACTAAGTTGTTCACGATGTAATATTTAAAATGTAATCTATACATTTAATAGAATCAAAATGAACCCACCAATTCGCCTCGGGGTAAGCTAACTATATGATGCAAGATTAAGAATGCTAAAAATCCAAGAAATTCAAGAAGCGAAGAATCCATTCAAGATTAGGATTTCGTTTCCTTAAAGATTATGATTTGTTATTTCTTATTTTCTAGTAATTTAGTGGGTGTTTGACTAAGTTTATAAGCTGGTCAAACTGGCTTATCAGCACTTTTTGACTTATCTACGCGTTTGGTAAAATTAAAAGTGCTTATAAGCCAAAAGCCATAAGTTGGTCTCCCCCAACTTATCAAACTCAGCTTATAAGCACTTTAGGTTTGACCAAAATATTTACTATTCTATCCCTAAAATACTTCTTTTTAAGATAAAACTTTTCGTATACCCGGTTCTTCAGCTGCTTATTATTAATTTCAGTACTTTTATCCAAACACGTAACTGCTTATTTTTTAAATCAGCTTCAGCACTTAAAAGTGCTTTTCAGCACCTAATGCTTATGAGCTACTCTAAACCAGCTAAGCCAAACGGGCTCTTAATTCTTGTTTTGGTAGGATTATATTTGTAACTCTAGTCAAACTAGGATTGTTAGTTGGTATCCCGTCCTTACTAGAATTCTTTTTCCAATTTTAGTTAGGATGTTATAAATAGAATTTTATTTATGGTGAATGTCTATATTTAGAGAGATTCTAGGGTTTATTACTTGGTGGCTAAGTCACCCTCTCCCTATAAATAGAAGGTTCTATTCCATTGTAATTCATCCCAAATAAATAAGAATTCTCTCTCCCTACTTTTCTCTACAACACTCTTCTTTCTTCTTTCTTCTTTGTCCCACTGGGTTTTCCTTGCAAGGTTTTTAACGAGGCAACCAAAAGGCGTATTGTTAGATATGTGTACTCCTTTTCCTTCTCTAGAATTTTTTTCCCACTGGATTTTATTTTAGTTAAGGTTTTAACGAGGCACATTATCTGTTGAATAGACATTCAAGGGGGAGTGTTATAAATAGAATTTTATTTATGGTGAATGTCTATATTTAGAGAGATTCTAGGGTTTATTACTTGGTGGCTAAGTCACCCTCTCCCTATAAATAGAAGGTTCTATTCCATTGTAATTCATCCCAAATAAATAAGAATTCTCTCTCCCTACTTTTCTCTGCAACACTCTTCTTTCTTCTTTTATTATTTCATAACATAGGATATGTTTTCTTAGCCTTATTCTTATTCTAGTTTAATTAGGATTAGTTTTCCTTAACCTTATCAATTTTACTCATTGTAAGGCCTATTTAAAGGGCTCAATATGCTGAAAATAAAGGTTGGTGATTACTTTTTCTAAGCTTTTGCTTCAAAAACGTGATTGATCTTTCATTTCATTCTTCTTCCTTTATTAAACGCTTCTTGCAATCTTGCGGGTTTGAGAAACGTGTGGGTGTGGGTGATGTTTCTTTCTATCTTACATTCTTCTAACGTGAGTTTGAAGAATGCTTTCACTAGTTTTAATGATGCAAGATCAAGAATCCTAAAAATCCAAGAAATTCAAGAAGCGAAGAATCCATTCAAGATTAGGATTTCGTTTCCTTAAAGATTATGATTTGTTATATCTTATTTCCTAGTAATTTAATTCTTGTTTTAGTAGGATTATATTTGTAGTTCTAGTCAAACTAGGATTGTTAGTTAGTATCCCATTCTTACTAGGATTGTTAGTTAGTATCCCATGCTACCATATCAATACCTGGATCCGCACGGTCAACTCACGTGCAACGCAGATAACTCACGCGCTATGGTATAAATACCTGGACCCGCACGGTCAACTCACGTGCAACGCGGACAACTCACGCGCTATGGTATAAATACCTGGACCCGCACGGTCAACTCACGTGCTACGCGGACAACTCACGCGCTATGGTATCAATAACTGGACCCGCACGGTCAACTCACATGCTACGCGGACAACATACGCTCTATGGTATTAATATCCTCACAATCAGGCCATCGGTCTCTCAATCATGTACCTTACTAGCCTCGCTATCATCAACAAATGTGATGACCCAAATGGTCATCACTTGTTTTAAATTAAATTCTATATTTCCAAGGCCTTGAAAACCTCATTTAGAGTCACCTCGATTTGCGTGCGCAGTCCGGGCGCATAGCCGGAAAGCTTAAATATGAAAATCTATAAAATATGATAAAATTTGGCTAATAAATGAATTAATTTGACTTCGGTCAACGTTTTGGGTAAATAGACCCGGGCCCGTGATTTGACGGTCCCGGAGGGTCCGTAGGAAAATATGAGACTTGGGCGTATGCCCGGAATCGAATTCCGAGGTCCCAAGCCCGAGAAATGAAGTTTTAAACGAAATTGTTTTCTGATATTGTTTATGCAAATTTGAAATGAAAATTGATTAGAACATGGTGGTATCGGGCTCGTATTTTAGTTCCGGCGCTCGGTACATGTCTTATATATGACTTAAGACGTTTCTGTGAAATTTGGTGAAAACCGAATGTCGTTTGACGTGATTCGGACCTGAATTGAAAAATTTGATGTTTTAAGAAGTTTGAAAGAATTCTTGGATTTTGAGGTTCAATTCGATGTTTATGATGTTATTTTGGCGATTTGATCGCACGAATAAGTCCGTAGGATATTTTTGAGGTTGTGTGTATATTTGGTTTGGAGCCCCAAGGGCTCGGGTGAGTTTTGGATAGGCCACGGTTGCATTTTGAACTTTGAAAAATAGCTGGTATTTCTGATCTTGCGAAGCCAGTCTCACAAATGCGAGCCATGCATCGCAAATGCGAAGATGGGACTTGGGCAGGCCTGATCGCAAATGCGACCAAATGGTTCGCAAATGCGAAGGCCAGTCACAAATGCGATGTTTGTCATCGCAAATGCGAAGCTTCCCTTTTCCGCCTGAGGTCGCAAATGCGACCAATCTATCGCAAATGCGACATAAGGATCGCAAATGCGAAAACTGGGAATTTCTGAAGGGTTCGCAAATGCAAACCCTGTTTCGCATTTCCACATCTACAGAGGTCGGGGTTCGCAATTGCGAACCCATATTCGCAATCCCCACATATGAGACCTGTAATTTTATACTTAGCCGATTTTAAACCCCATTTTTCATATTTTCTCAAACCCAAACACACTTAGGCGATTTTTCAAGAATCCTTTCTTCTCCAAATCAATTGTAAGTCGTTTTTAACCAACTTTCTTCAATTCTTATCATCTTTTTACATGATTTCAACTCAAAATCAAGGATTTTTATGGGGGAAATTGGGTGTTTTGGGTAGAACCTAGGTTTTTCAAAAATTGGGGATTTGGACCTCGATTTGAGGTCTGATTTCAAAATAAATTATATATTTGAGTTCGTGAGGGAATGGGTGATCGGGTTTTGGCTCGAACTCCGGGTTTTGACCACGTGGGCCCGGGGGCATTTTTGACTTTTTGGCAAAACTTTGGGAAATTCATTTTCATGCATTCAAATTGATTCAATTAGCGTTTATTGATGTAATTAAGTAATTTGTGATTAGATACGAGCGAATTGGCGGTGGAATAAAGGGGTAAAGCTATAATTGAAACTTGAATTGTGTTCGTGGCATCGAGGTAAGTGTTTGATCTAACCTTAGCTTGAGGGATTAGGAGTCGAGTCATATTTGCTACGTGATAATTGTTGAGTACGACGTATAGGCATGGTGACGAGTATCTATGCGTTGGAGTCAAGCATGCCCGTGGGTCTTATATCGTGATTTTCATGACTTCGTTGTATTATCTATGCTTAGAAGTGACTTTTATTTGTTGTGACAAGTTTGTGGAAGTAATTGTGACATTTGAATATTGAGGAGCATTGGCTCAAGCTATATTACGAATTGTGAAGGTATATGAGTTGATTGAACCCTTTGGAGCATTGGTTCAAGTGGTAAGTGAGTTGTGAAGTAAAAGTAAAAAAGAGAAAGAAGTTATTGTGTTGATACCCTCGCCGGGTTATTGTTGATTTGTCGATTATCTCCCTTGTCGGGATGCGGATATTATTGATGTTGTTCCCTTGCCGGGATTTAAGTGTTTAATTGTTGTTCCCTTGCCGGGAGTTCTATTATAATCTTGTTTATCCCCTTGCCCCATTGTTTGTGATTGTTGTTTGGGTGAGGAAGAGTGTTAAAGCACGAAGGGTGATGCTGTGCATGATTGTGAGGAAAGAGTGTAAAGCACGAAGGGTGATGCCGTGCAGCACGATGTACTATTCCGTGCCGATTCTATTGATTATATGGTGAGGAAAGAGAGTAAAAGCACGAAGGGTGATGTC